CAACATTCCTTTTCAGTGTTGTTTCTGTTAATTCTTAATTTTATAAGTATTATTTCTTTCAGGATTACTAAAATGCTGCTATCAAACTTCATTTGCAATGGACATTTCGATCTGCCAATTCTGTACTTTGACAAATTAATATTTCTGTCTATTAAAAATAGACATATTTGACAGCTGAAGATATTGTATGGGGTTAAGATGCTTGTCTTGCATTTGACTGAACCCAGTTCAATTCCTGCACTGTATACAGTCTCCCAAGCTCAGTGAGGAATGACCCCTGAATATAGAACCAGAAGCCCTGAGCTCTGCTAGTTGTGGCCCCCCAAACCAGAAAAAGAAAACAAAATGCTTTATCTCTCTATCCAAAGGAACAAAAATAATCTGTTTTGTGGTTTATACAGTTAAAAATTATGAGAAACTTCTTTGCTCTGAAATAATATCTTGTCACTACAGAGAATATTTCCAATTTACAACATGTCTCTCTCTTTTTTTAATTTGGGAATTTAAAGGACTTTAAATAATTTGGACTTTGCCTGATTCCCCTTGAATAGTAGAATATGACTGATAACTGCCCTTAGAATCCCTAATAGCTAAATTACAATTATTATGCAAAGTCCTACAATAGACAGTTATATGGATTGTTAAATGACTTTGCCTTTTTTGCAAACTATAATCATTTTCCTTTATTAGCTGAAGGATTTCATAATTTAAGGACGATGAGAAACCTATAAGTCACGCTTTCAAATAAGGAACATGGATATTGCAAACATTAAATTTCCCCATAAAACTGTTAAGGCATCATTAAACTAGGTTCAGATTAATACAATTCAGTCAACTCTAGATAGATATCTCCCATAATAAGCTGAAACAATACCTAGTGATCTAAGATGTAAAATATTTTACTACAGCCAATTTATAAACCTATAAAACATACAGGTATCATTCAACCTCTTTATTAATAGTGCATGCCTAGTTCTAAATCAAAGCCATTTTAAAGGCCCCTCCCCTTGGCTTCCCCTCCCTTGGCTGTTGTCCCTGATAATGTGTTATCTCATTGAAGCTCATCGAAAGTGAATGACAGCATCCTTTTCACTAGAAGCAGCAAAGGCAATTCCCAGCCTAGTGATACAACTTAACTGTCGCTTAAATTTATAGACACACTTGCTACCCTCAACCCGCAATATTCTGTGGTCGAGTCTTGATGTATTTTTCTCACATTGAAAAATTCTAATTTATGATTGCTAGGCTCCTGGTAGAGACAATTCTGAATGTGTGGTAGAAAGGGTTTTTCGCCCAGTTTTTGTCCATTTGCATTGCAAACAGTTCATACTAGCTAAATTACTGAGTTTGAATGAATTCACTTTTATGATTATATAGTGTTGCATGAAAATGCTAGCACATGGTTTTAATACCCCTCTGTCTCCCCAAAACAATCCTAATATTTATTGCACTCACAAATTTGTAGTTAGTGTAAGAATGTTCTCTATATCTACTTCACTTCACGTCAGGTGAGAGGACTTGAGTCACTTGGAAATTTCTACATATATTTTTTGGTTCTGTGCTCACTAACACTACGGAGAATTTCCTGATGTCTTCAGACAGTCTCATGCACACATTTCAACTCGCATCTCCAAATGTGGCATCCCAGAGAAAGTATGAGAACGCTAGCTCCTTTTCAGTCCTGCTCTTAAAAGATCTACCCATTGTTTCCAATTCATTTTGATTTTTAAATGAGAGTCCTTGAGGATGATACATAAACAAGTAAAGGAGAAATAGACACAGATTTTAATTGGGATAAATTCAAAAAATGTGTGAACATATTTTAAAACTGTCTCATGATAAAATGGGAAGTCTATGCTTTTCAAATATCCCCCTAGAAAATGATCAGCTATGTATTTGCTAAGTTGCTACATATTAGCTACTGTTAAAATATGAATAAATTGTTCCTTCCCAGTTTTTGTATTGTAATTGACAAAATATAATATATATGTGCAAATATAATGAATATATACATAGTGAAATGATAACTACACATATGTTATGAACTAACTATCATAGTTTAACATCTCCCACCTTACATAGATAGCTTTCTCTTCCTTTTGCACTTTTTAAAAGGGGTGAGGATGTGTTTATTATTAAGTTCCATAGTTTCTTTCTTTTTGCAAAATATGAACACCAGGTTATCTTGCTCAAAGAATAAAGGTGCAATAAGCTAAATCTTTTATATATGTATATGTATATATATACATCTCTATATAGATGTATATGTATACATATATACATGTATGGCTGGAGTAATAGCACAGCAAGTAGGGTATTTGCCTTGCATGTGGCCAATCCGGGTTTGATTCCTCTGCCCCTCTCGGAGAGCCCGGCAAGCTACCGAGAGTATTCGATATGCCAGACACAGTAACAACAAAGTCTCCAATGGAGACGTTACTGGGCCCGCTCGAGCAAATCTTTTATATATGTAAGTAAGTAAGTAAGTAAAGGCCCTCCCGTTGATCGTCGATTTGCTCGAGCGGGCCCAGTAACGTCTCCATTGGAGACTTTGTTGTTACTGTGTCTGGCATATCGAATACTCTCAGTAGCTTGCCGGGCTCTCCGAGAGGGACGGAGGAATCGAACTCGGGTCGGCCATGTTGGCCGCTTGTAAGGCGAAAGCCCTACCCGCTGTGCTATCGCTCCAGCTTTATATATATATATATATATATGTGTATATATATATATATCATCTCTATATAGATGTATATGTATACATATATACGTATATGGCTGGAGTAATAGCACAGCAAGTAGGGCATTTGCCTTGCATGTGGCCAATCCGGGTTTGATTCTTCTGCCCCTCTCGGAGAGCGTGGCAAGGTACCGAAAGTATCCTGCCTGCACAGCAGAGCCTGGCAAACTACCCATGGCATATTCGATATGCCAAAAACAGTAACAACAAGTCTCACGATGGAGACTTTAATGGTGCCCGCTCAAGCAAATCAATGAAAAATGGGAGGACAGTGCTACAGTGCATATATATATATATATATATGTATATATATACATACATATATAAAATCTGTGTGTGTATGTAGCATCCTTAAGCATGATTTTTCTTTTTTTCTTTTTGCTTTTTTTGCTTTTTCTTTTGCTTTTTGGGTCACACCTGATGATGCACAGGGGTTACTCCTGGCTCATGCACTCAATAATTATTCCTGGTGGTGCTCATGGGACCATATGGGATGCTAGGAATCGAACCCAGTTGGGCAGCGTTGCAAGGTGATCTCCCTCCTTACTGTGCTATCACTCAAGCCCCGAAGCATGATTTTTCTTTTTGTATTGTTTTGTTTGCTTGGGGGATTGGGTTACCCCATACCACACTCAGTGCTTACTTCTGACTCTGTGTTCAGGGATAACTCTGGCAGTGCTCGGGGGACCTTATGGGGTGCCAGGGATTGAATGCAGGTCACTTGTGTGTCAGGCAAGTATCTGATCTCCTCTGTTGTTTCTCTAGCCTCCCTTAACCATCTTTTGAACTGACTCATCACATACATGTACATATATGAACATAAATACATGCGTGGCTTAAGCCATAAGAGATTTTTTTTAATTTAAGTAGAGTTTTTATACAGAACATAAATAAGCACATGTCTTTAATGTAAAACCATCCCCCCAAAGTCTTTTAATATAGGGAATGATTGATTTTAAGAATTAGAGAGAAAATCTGTAAAATTGACATTATTCAGAGAATAGTAAGTACAAAATAAAATTAAAATAGAACATTTTAAACTTACATGTATAATGCATAAACAAGTTTGAAACTATGAAGAAACTATTAATAAAACCCTTTTGAACAGTAGTCTAATATGTATATCAATAAATTTGTTAAAAAAGTATACAATGGAAGTTTCTCATATTTCACAATCTAATGTGATTATTTCTACCTGTTTTCCAGAACTTCAGGAAGTATACTTTGTTGTCTACTTTGTTTAGTCGGAAAAGTGATGTATAGTATAGAATTCTAGGCACCAATCAATGCTATTACTGATCCAAAACCTTTAAGAAATTAGAGTTGACAATCCGTGACAAGAAGGTCTGGAGGAAAACTCTGTGTCTAAATTTCTCAGGGAGGGTCTACAATGTACATATATTTGTACATCAAGTTATTTACATCAGCAAATATCATCGACCAATGAGGCATCACTATTTCAGGGAAATAGGACATTCCACCTTAGATATTTACAAAGAGTTTCTACTCTCATTCTTGCCTCCCCACCTCTTTTTTTACAATTTATGAAATTCCTAGAGTGTACAAATATGAACTAAAAATGTTCTATCTTCTGATATTTAAAGGCTTCATAGCTGCTCGAGTTAATTTCTCTCTGATGATTATCCTTGTCAGCATAATATAATACGGGGAAAGCTAAATGTTTCTTATCATTACGCCGACTACATAGACTTTGTATTTATAGACTAGATTTTTAAGGTCAAAATTTTAAGACACATTTGTGTAATGCTCTCTGTAAAATTTTGTGTAAATTGTGTAACTTATTGCCTTGTTGTAAAGATACTTTAAAAAGTCCTTCACTTCTCTTTAAATAATCAAGAACTCCACAAATTTCTAAATTAATCCCTAAAGCATAAAACTATATGAATAACATTATATATTTAACTTAAACAAATATACAAAAACAAAAGTCAGGTTTATAGGATTTTTATACTCAATTTCACAAAGTTTATTTGGCAAATCAAACCAGATACAACACAATCAGATACAGCACAACTATAAACCAAACCGAGGGCTATTTTCTAAAATAATAATGAAAAACAAGTGAAGCAGGGTGCCCAAAGAACAGTCTACCACAAACGGAAAATTGAATATTCCAAAACAGCTGTGATTCATGTTCCCTTAGTCTCTCCAAGTGCATTCTCTTTCTAATCACAAACAATGGGTAAATTGTTTTCATGAGTGAATGTTTGAAACTGAAAAAAAATATAAATCACTGGAAGCACTAAACTGACTTCCTTCGCTTTCCAAATACATTATTGATCAGTTTGACCATGGATTTCGAGCCACTGGGTCTCCTTTTCTCTTTGAGTTTGAAGGTTGTCAGGATGTCCTTGATGATTCTGAGGAACATCATTTCCACCTCCAGACACTGCTCAGCCGCGGACAGTTCGCAGAACTGGCACCGGTTATCCTGCGCCAGCTGGTGCCCTTCTTCCCAGCCAACTTCTCGCACATGACAGAGATCTTGCTTGTTACCAACCAAAAGAACTGCTGATTCCACAGCTCTGAAATACAGAAACACAATCGTTTGGTGAGAACATTTTCAAACAACTTTTTCTTTAAAAGAATTAAGTTTCTATCAAAAGGATCATGGATTTAAAAATGAATTTATCCTGCATGTATATGGACTAATGTGGCCCTGGTATGTGTGTGTGTGTGTGTGTGTGTGTATGTGTGTGTGTGTTTGATGACACATAATCCCCTTGACTTAGAAAAAAAGTTTAGATCATATGTGAAGCAATAAAGTTCTTAAAGAGAGGACTTAAGAAACATGAACCAAATCCTGGATTCTGGCTTTGTCTACTAACAAGACATGATTGCTATTTCCTGGTTTTCAGTTTCTTTCCATGTAAAAAATAGCAAAATATTCCTCATCACACGAAATTTTCATAGGGCTGAAATGAAATGGCATATATAAAAATACCTAGCACTTTGTCAAGGAATCAGGCAGCTTACTAGCGATTATTTTTTATTTCTCTATCAAACTCAAGTAATGTCTCCTTACTAAACAACGATTATAATAGAATAAAAAATTTAGATGTAATTTTTCTAAGGAAAGAATATTATCCATATTTGTTGCTCTTCATTCTTTTTAAATATCCATTAAAACATAATCTGGGGAGTATTTTATATTTATTTTGTACAATAATTTATTTTGAGAAATATGTTGAATATAATATCTTCAGCAAATACTAATATATTCTCCTTTTTTAAGGGAGTTTCATGTGAAGACTATAGGGTGGAATTCTGCCAAGGCACTACTATGGGGATAAAGTGGGGAAGCACAAAAAGTCTTTGACTGTCTAAAAAAATATTGTCCCCATGTGCAAGGCAAACGCCCTACCGCTGTGCTATCGCTCCAGCCCGTTAAGTGCTGTAGTACTGTTAAGTGTTCGTTTATATGACAGTGTAAGCTATGAGAGAAAAAATGTTGCAGTGGAGGGTATTAATAAATTTTTTTCTATACAGTTCACAAAAATGTGTAACAACTTAATAGAAAAGAGTAAATGAAATATTCTGAAGGTTGACAATTATCAGATTTTTCTATTCTTTGTAGACTGAGAATAGAAAATATTTAAGAAAAACAGTTCTTTCATCAGTAAATGAATATATCTCAAAAATATCAAATACAGATTCACTGTCACTGTCACTGTCACTGTCCTCCTGTTGTTCATCGATTTGCTCAAGCGGGCCCAGTAACATCTCACAACAAACTGTGAGACTTGTTGTTACTGTGATTGGCATATTGAATATGTCACAGATAGCTTGCCAGGCTTTGCTGTGCAGGGGAGATACTCTGGGTAGCTTGCCGGGCTCTCCGAGAGGGGTGGAGGAATCGAACTCTGGTCGACCATATTGGCCGCTTGCAAGGTAAACACCCTACCCGCTGTGCTATCGCTCCAACCCAAATACAGATTCAATTTTTTAAAGTTTCATTTTAGGGGTCCACACCCAGCAATACTCAGGATCATACCTGGCAGTGGTCGGAAGGAACATATGTAGTGTCAGGAATCTAACCCAGGCCAGTCAGGGCTACCTAAGGCAATTACTGTACTATTCAGGACCACCCATGATCAAATTTTTATGTATTTCAAAGTGATTCTTTTGATTTGGAGGACAATCAAAAAAAAACTTTATTATTCCCCTTACCTAGATCATGGTATTAGAATATAAGGCAGTTTATGCTTGAAACAATGGATTTTTAAAACGTCAGTAACATTATAGAAAATCAGGGTTTTGTGGTACTTTAGTAAAATCACTTTCTTTACCCTACCAATCTTCATCAGTTTGATAATCAGAAAACGGAGATACAGATATTAAAGTGGTTTGCCCAGGGTCAATCAGATACACATGAGGATTTACACAAGCTGACTGAAGAATAGTATCATTTGCCAGTCACTGACTGATGCTTTCTTGATAGTGGCATTTATAGTACATATTAAGAGCATATAATTAATTTTTCAGTAATAATAATGTACTCTATTTTGTTCCTGGGATTAGTATGCTATTTTGAGCTTTAAGGTCAAAACTGAATAAATGCAAATAAATAAATAAATAAACAAAATCCCATCCACAAGTACATTGAATAAAGTCTGTTAAGTGGAAAGGCTAAAATATACAATTTTTTAAAAATAAGAAATGTTAAAACAGAAAATTCATACGTTTAGAGAATGTTTTTGCACAGACAGGTGCTCTTTCATAATTATTTGTGTTTGAAAACAATTCCAGGAAAGTGTTGATAAATTCTTTATCTAAGGAAACAACATGGAGAAAAAATATATATATTGTTATATTTAGAGAATTTGTGATAGTTTGATGATTCAGTCCACTTTGCTCTGATAGATTGAACAATCCAATAAGTAGGAATTGGATGCCAAAGGTAATAAATCTGAATCTATTTAGTATCCTTGAGATTTTTGTGTGCATGAAAAGGAAAGGCTGGGAAACCACAATCTTGTGTACAGAAATGATCATTATTTTGCATCTGAGTGTCATGTTAACAATAGAGGCTGTCTTGTAAAATAGCCATTTACTCGGGGCAAATAACTGTTTATGTCAGCCGGGATATAAAGTATTCTCACCCTATTCCTTTTACTACCCATGTAAGTCCTGTGGAATGGAAGGTGAATTGTTCAGGGCTGTTAAATTTTGTAATTGGAAGTCTGTCTTAAACTCTTCCTAATGATGCTTACCGCTCTATGATGATTTACTAAAAAGAAAGGAGAGAAGGATAAAACTATCTTCTTACCTTTTACAATGACTCATTTGTGGCTCTCGAATTCTGTAGATTAGTGCTTTTGCAAAAGCAAATGAAGACCTGTCACTGATATCATACACAATAATAAACCCATCTGCCCAGTGCAGTTCACTTGTGAGGGAAAATTTTGCTTTCTGTGGCTGAAAATAAAACAAGCACATTGAAAGTGGCGCCATGTACCACCCATCTTTTATCATTTTTGAAAAATTAATTAAGAGAAACCATTCTCACTAGGACTTAAAGGACTCCAGTATGGTAAATAATTATATTGTCAAAATTATAACTTGCTTTTTGATTTATTCCTCTTTTTAAAGCCAATAATGATTAATATTTTTAAATATACATTATAATAATGCTACATGTCTCATTTTATAACTTTTCTCTAAGAAAATAATTCCAGCTTTGAAATTTTGGTAAGCTCTATCAATAGTTTTTGAATTAATATTTATATATGTAATTTTGAAAAGAGATATTCCCCATCTATTTTATAATGGAATATTTGTTCATTTCTGGCACTAAATTCAAATCAGTAAAAAATATTGATAGAATTTAGATGAAAGAATCTAAGAGATATTTTACTTTACTGAAAAAAGTCTGTCCTGTGCAATCTTGATAGACAACTTTCTATTCTTCATCTCATATATACAATCCTAATTTAACTTTGTATTTGTGTAGATAAAAAAGTTTGTACTCAAATTGAGTCTAATATACTTTATTGACAGTGGCTTGTTAAAAATAAAACAGTAACACTGCATTGATAATCATTCACTAGTAACTTCTGATAGCTATACTAAAATCTGATAGAAATATACCATGAATTCAGTCCAATGTTGCTATTTTAAGTGTTTTTAATAGGATTAAGAACCTATTTTTAATAGGATTACTTTTGTAATAATTTTACAGAATATTAAGGTAATGGAATGTATAACCCTGCAAACAAACTCTTAAAATTTAATAGTAAAATTAGAGAGAAACTTTATTTTAACACTGGCAACTCCACACTCACTCCACCTTCCAGTCATGATGGAAAAAATAAAACAAAGGATTCTTTGTTTTACTTACTTGAGAACAAGGGTCATATATTTCTAAATTCAGTTGCCTTCCTTCCAAACACAAATGTTTATTATAGATAGACTCTGGAAAATAGGCACACATTTTCTGTCATTATCGAAATACCCCACAATTTTTTAAATGAGCTCATTTAAATCATAACCAGCCAAAAAAAATCAATGAATCATAATTCAGCACAATAGTACCATGGCTATTTTTTATTGCTAATGGTTCTAAACATGCATTTGTTATATGGGTTCATACATATTTCTAATAAATGAGCTTTACCTTCATATCTATTCACCTACATATTTTGTACTTTATTTACTGAACATCTGTCAAGTACTATGGGCAAATGATCTATTTATATACATAAAGCTAATCTATTAACTAGGAACTGGTTATTATTGTGGGGGGAGGGGAGTGCTACCCTTGGCAGTGCTCAGAGCTCTGTGCTCAGAGATCATTCCTGGTGGGCTCAGGGAGTCATATGTGGTGCTGGGATTAAACCTGGTTGGTCGTGTGCAAGGCAAGAACCCTACCTGCTGTACTATCTTTCTGGTACCAGGAACTAATTCCTGTTTTTTTTTCACCAACCACAAATCAGGATTAACCAGTTATATCGTCTTCTGCACTATCAATGTTTCCATTTACTACATCACTACAAAGATGTTTTTTTTCCCCTAAGTTTAACAATTCTTCAGATTTCCACAATCTCTTTTACCTCTTGTCTCATTTTGTCTGTTGGCTTATGGTGACCGTTAGGGATCCCTGTCCCACAATCTCTACCTCCTGTTTTTAAATCAAATCAATCAGGCTTTCAATACATTTTTTTCCCACTAAATCTGGACTTATCGAGGTTGTGGTTTTAGACCCCGTGGCCATTTTTATGCCTTGACCTTTCTTTCCCTCTCAGCATTAGTAAAATTAATCACTCTTCTTCCTTAACATGTTTCTTTCATGTGGTTTGCATGGCAATACTCTTTTTTTTTTTTTAGCGTGTGTGTGTGTGGGGGGGGGGGGTGTCACATCTGGCAATGCACAGGGGTAACTCCTGTCTCTGCACTCAGAAATTACTCCTGGCGGTGCTCAGGGGACCATATGGGATGCTGAAAATCGAACCCAGGTCGGCCTCGTGCAAGGCAAATGCCCTACCCACTGTGCTTTCTCTCGGCCCCAGCATGGCAATACTCTTTCGGTTTCATCTCATCCTCTCTAGCTCCAATTTAGCTGTTTGTATTTGGCCAACCCTAGATTCCCGCATTCCAGACATGGATCAGTTCTATGGGTCTCTTCTGTCAACACATGCTTCATGACTGGCCTTGTTCAGTTAGAAATGTTTATATGTCACTTGTTGCCAATGAGCCCAATGGACATCTACGGTGCATACATTTTTCCTGAATTCTAGGCACAAACATCTCAGTGTCATTGGCCCTCTCCTCTTGGGCACCTGATAAGTGTCCCAGACTTGATATGTTTAATACTGAACTTGTAGTGTGTTTCTTCCTTGTTTTCCCATTTTATTAAATACCATCTCCTTATCTCTAGTTTCTCAAGGCAAAACACCTTAAAATAATCCACAATTCTTTCTTACCTTCAAATCCCATACTTAAGCTTTAAAAAATTATTTCTCACTCTACTTTTAAGGTATGTTTTGAATTTGTCTGCCTCTCATCATCTTCTTTGATAAAACTCTGGTCCAAACCATCATTATGTTTTTTGCCTTGTACATTACAAAATCTGCATCTGTGCTCTATCTGTTCCCTACTTCCCTTTTTGTGACTCATCTCCTCTCAACATACAAGCGACCATGGTACTGTAGGTGGTGAACCCCAGAACTAGCTGGGGTTCACTGTTCTGATGTAATCATTCTCAGGACTCCCCAACCCAGTAGATAATATAAATCCTTCCAAGACCCCCAAATATTCCTCGTTATCCAGATCCCCATTATATCTGTGCCTCAATCTGCCTATCTGGCTATTCCCTCACAAACCCTCTCCATTCCTGTCCTTCATTCTGTTCCACCAACTATCCAGAAACCACCTTTCTGGAGAAGATTGGATTTTTCTGCCTGAAAGCAAAAAGGCTAAAGGTCCTGTGTCTATCGAAATGTCATCCTTTCAGCAAGGTGCGTTCTGATAGTCCAATATTGATTGTCATGTGCCATATGAGCATCATTCCTTCATTCATCATATGACATCTTTTATATTTAATTATTTTTGTTTGTGGGCCACACTTAACAGTGCTCAAGGCTTACAACTGGTTCTGTGCTCAAAGATTAGAGCTTGAGGGAACCTATGGGATGCCACGGACTAAACCTGGGTTGGCTTTGAACAAGACCAATGCTTGACTTGTTTGTACTGTTTCTCCAGACCCATATTTAAATTTTTAATTGACTCATTACTTCTTCCAGATTTTAAATCTTATGAGGGACTGAATATATGTCCTTTCTTTTCAAATTCTCTACCTGGGATATTGAGGTGACCAATTTATATTTGATAAATAATCGAATTCCTGTTCTTCTAGAGACTGATAAAAGATATATTTCTCTTAAAAAGTCAGCATGCAGCATAAAATAATGATCAATTACGGGCTGGAGCGATAGCACAGCGGTAGGGCGTTCGCCTTACAAGCGGCCAACATGGCCAACCCAAGTTCGATTCCTCCGCCCCTCTCGGAGAGCCCGGCAAGCTACCAAGAGTATTCGATATGCCAAACACAGTAACAACAAAGTCTCCAATGGAGATGTTACTGGGTCCGCTCGAGCAAATCGACGATCAACGGGAGGGCCTTTACCTTACGGCTCTAACTCTGTAACTCATAGTAGGAAATATATAGTGTATATTTGGGGATCAAACTTCCAGGAATTCAGAATAAATTTTAAAAGTCCTTTGAAATTTCATTTTAGGGAAATAATTATAGTTTCATTTAATCTTAAAATGTGTTTCTTGACAGTTCCTATAACATTCATCCTCAAGTTCACTGATTCCAAACCATATAAAACCCTCCTACACATAAAAAAAAAAAATCCTCAAATATCAAAATTTGCCACCAGGGGTCACCAATTCTTAACTTTTTAGAACTTTATTATTTCCTTTACCACCCTTCACTGATAACAGCTACAGAGTCATATTGGTTTTGTCCTTGAACCCCAATGACCTTTTGTTCACATGGTTGTCTTTTTAAGATGTCTCTCTGTCATGTATGCTATATATATCAAGAAATATGTAAATCCCCTATTTGATGAGGTCTTATAGAAGACTGAAGTGATGATTTTTGTTGTTCCTGCTATAATTTTTAACGTTTGTTTTCTTTCTTTTTTTTTAAATTCTGGAGCATTTTCTCATCCACTGCTCCTACCTGTTAATCACATCTGTCACTGTCACTGTCCTCCCGTTGTTCATCGATTTGCTCCAGTGGGCCCAGTAACATTGTGAGACATGTTGTTACTATGTTTAGCATACCGAATGCATCATGGGGAACTTGCCAGGCTTTGTTGTGTGGGTGAGAAATTCTCGGTAGCTTGCCAGGCTCTCCAAGAGGAGCGGAAGAATCAAACCCAGGTCGGTCGGGTTATCCGCAAGCAAGGCAAAAGGCCCTACTGCTGTGCTATCACATAAACAATAAAGTTTTCTCTTTCTACATAGTGTCTTTATAATCAGTTTCCAAACACACCCTTTAGAACACTTACTGTTAGATGGTTGAATACATGTAGCAAACAACACCCATAATACTTTAGTTATTTTCAAAACTACTCTTAATAACAGCTAAAGATTTTTTCATTTATGTGTCATAGGAAACATAAATAAAATAGCATTGTAGAGCATGTGAGTATGAATATTTTTCTAATCTATGAAGAAAAACTTAAAATTAAATCAACATCTGTTGGCACAGCAATGGCTGGAGCGATAGCACAGCAGTAGGGCATTTGCCTTGCATGCAGCCAGTCTGTCCCAGCAGGGATCGATTCCTCCGCCCCTCTTGGAGAGCCGGGCAAGCTACCGAGAGTATCTCACCTGCATGGCAAAACCTGGCAAGCGCCTCGTGACGTATTCGATATGACAAACACAGTAACAACATGTCTCACAATGGAGACGTACTGGGCCCACTTGAGCAAATTGATGAACAACGGGAAGACAGTGACAGTGACAGTTTCATAGGAAATTGGTTTGAAACCATAAATTCTTCTGCTTAAACTAAGGAAGCATCAAAGAACAAAAAGATTATCCCTTTTTCTTCAGATATCATATTTACTAAAATATATTGTTTTCATTTTAAAAATAAATTCTGGGGCTGGGGCAATAACAGAGAAAGCAGGGGTCTTGCACTTGAACATAAGTTTGATCCTCAGCACCCCATCTGGTCTCCCATTCCGGGTCAGCAGTGATCCCTGAATACAGAGCCAGGAATAAACATCATACTTGAGCACCATAAGGAATGGTCCCCAGACAAAAAAATTAATAAAAGTGGATTTTTTTTTAAAAAAAAATCTGTCACTGTCACTATCCCTCCGTTTATTTCCCAAATATTTCCCTAATATTTCCACTAATATTTCCCTAATTTTCCTAATATATTTTTTAAAAAATCTGTCACTGTCACTGTCCACCCAATTATTTCCCTAATATTTCCCTCCCTGCCCCGAACAGAGCTCTAGCAGCCAAAGACCTCCAGAACCAGCCACCACCATGCTGAGACCACTCTCCACACGCATGAAGGTACCGGCAGAGGAACAAAGGCATGCGGGTCCTGGGGCTGAGATCTCCAAGCCTGCTCAGATCGGGGCTAAGCATCCTCCACCCAGATCCTCCATCTTCCAGTAGGCAGGGGTCACACCCACCAAATGACCCCCAGAGCCGTGTAATCCCATCAACGGCCAATACCCAGAGACTATAAAACCCAGTTCCCGGAAGAGTGTGGCCACATTTGCAGCCATGGGACATCTTATTAACTCATTCTTACTTTGAACATCCCGACAGATAACCTGCCCACACGGCAGAGTCTGGCAAACTCCACGTGGCATACCCAATATGCCAAATACCAGTAACAATGATGGGTCTCATTCTCCTAATCCTGAAAGAGCCTTGAATATGGCATTTTTTAAAATCTCAGGGCTAGGATGAATAGACGTTACTGGGGCCTGCTCGAGGCAATTGACGAACAATAGGATGATCCATGATCCCTGAATATTTTCCTAATATTTCCTCTCAGAGAAGATAATCTTAGCAGTGTATCAATTCATTGACAAACTAAAAATATGTTCAAAACTCTGACAAATTTCCTCACTTTATAGTGTTATAATATTCCATATGTCATGCTAATTCTGATCAAAATACCATAAATTTCTAGTTCAGTTAGTGAAATAATCTGAAGTTTACATCAAGGTGCTCTAACATCTGTTTTATAATTTATCTGAAACTTTCATAAGCAATAGAGATAATTATGAAATTAACTTTAATCAAAGAACCATTTTCCTATTATTTTCTCAAGGCTTTGCAATAAAAGTCAGCTATATTTTGTAATTACTTTGTTTTATAATTAAAATCCCCTTATCTTTAACAGATGTTGATTTAATTTTAAGTTTTCTCCATAGATTAGAAAAATATTCATACTCACATGCTCTACAATGTTATTTTGGGGAAGATCCAAATTTTAATATTTTTTTCTAGGTCTAGCCTGAAACCAACCGACTTTCTAATCCATTTCAGTTGACATGAAATTGTACAAATTTTATCATAACCTAATATAACATTCAAATACTTATTTTGGGATGTCTAGAAGATCTGAATAAGTAACTTGCTTATGATATTAAAATTTTAGGGTAAAAATGTAAAATAGTGACTTACCAAAATTAGAAGCATATTCACCAATATATCTCTTAGTAAGAAACCTTACTATAAGGGCTGCAAAACAAGCAAGAGAAATATAGACTCTATTCTGTTTAGGATATAGATAATTTAATTATGGATATAAGGTTTTATCTTACTGCTCAAAAAATTACCAAGCATTATTGAAAACCTTAAAAGTCTTGTTAAACTTTAGTCTAAATAGCAAAATTTCTAGTGCACAACCATAAAGATTAGCAGGCTAGCAAGAAAAAGATCTAAGAGTACTGCCTAAGGAGAACCACATGATAATTAATTCAAGAACACAAGCGCAAAAGGCAACTTAACCTTTTGTAACACTAACAGACTTCTCATTTACATAAAAGAGCATCTCTCTCTCCCAAATCAAATTAAATGTCTCCAAGGTTCTGCATGCAAAGTCTGACAAGGACGATGTCAAGACTTTGCATTTGTTCAAGGACAGTGATTTCAAAAACCAAGAAAAAGAGAAAGGACCTCAGTTTATCTTATTAAAGTTCCTGGTCTGGTTGGTGGTAATTCATCAGGCTTCTGTCTCCCAAAGTCTGGGTACCTATCACTCAGTTTCTGTACATCTACAAAGCCACACTCCCCCAGTGTTCTTTCACATATTATATAATGATCTATTTAAACAAAATGGCTAACACATCCACAGGAATTGTACGACACCTCTCTTCCCACTTAGCCTCAGAATAGTAGAGAGTTTTGAGGCCATTACTGAGCCCCTGGTAAGTGGAGTCAGGTATGTTGGAACACAAAGTCAGTAAGATTTGTATTCTTATTAGTAAATATGAAGGCTCCAAATAAAACTAGCAAATCTATCATACATATACTTAACACAGTTAAGTCATATTGCAAATGTGACATTTTACATATTAGTTTCTATACTCAGTGTCATTTAGGGCTAGTTTTTATATTTACCTGCAACATAAATCTAACATTTATAGACATAATCACTATTGCCCACACTTGCGTGTCTGCTGCCTGTTGTGACATAGGAAACATCTACTACTCACCAGATTTGCCGGTTCCTTCCCTGCCCAAAACAGCGAGTTTCATATCATTCATCTTGCTTTACTTTCTTTCTCTTGGTCAGATTCGTCTTCTAGAACTACACTGGCTCGAGTCATCGTGCTTTTTCCCTCCCCCCAAATTCTTTTTATTAATATGGCTCTCATTTCTCTAAGCCCAACCCCACCCCGTATGCCTACCATCCAATAATAACTTCAGAAATATTTTCCTGGGGTTCTTTGAGCTTGCCCTATTTTATTTTAAAGTTGGGGTTATATTTAGAAACGAAATCTATTCAGTCAACAGTCATAAATAGAGAAGCTGGGTTCCCATTTACCTGCACATCTACCTCCTCTCAAGAGTTTGAAAAATGATTTATCTCATTATGATGTTAAAGGATGAGGAAACATTCTTGTTGATTTCCTTCAATTGATAGCCATTTTATTTTCTGTTAAAACCCAAGTGTTCATCTCATTGGATTTTCCACTGTGAATAACAGTTAGTAGGGAGTTAGTAGTTAGGGTTTGAAAATAGACATTCAGACCCAGCTGGTGTTTCTTAATCATGAGGCTCCCAAGATTGGGGAACGTTGCTGAATTTCAGCTGAATTATTCTCTTTTTGAAAAGCCATGTCACTCAATAACCGTGATATTTCTTTAAATTTTTTAAAAACTAAATCAAGCTAATCTAAACTAAGGCAAACAATTTCACCTTGTTTAAAGACCAATAAACAGAAACCTGGCACATTTCCTTCAGCAGTAATATGAAATTTGGAAATGAAGGGGAAAAAGAAGAAAAGAAAATTTGGAGGGGTTATCCAAACTACTGTGAAATGAAGAAATTTAACAAGCAAAATGATCAGTCTTTCCTACTAGTCCAGTTTCTCTGTTAATTTCTTCCTCTTCTTTCTCATGTATAAGTATAGTAGTTGAAATAAAAGAACACAACACAGCTATTCACCTTTTGACTATTAAGTTTTGAGGCATACATGAAAATTTTTCACTTTCAGAAGGGTCCAATAATAGGGAATAATAATGTGCTTTTCAAAAATATAAGTGTTTAATAAATATCCCTAAATGACTACCATATATTAATGTTATGTTGGGTTTATGAGATCAATAATTAAATATTGAGTTTTCTTCTCTGCTGAAGTCTATAATCTACTCAGAGGATAGTGGAAAAATGTTGATGACATCATATCCTATCATTGCTGAAAAAACTCATGCCGAGAGCTACAGAAATCAGAGCAGCAGTAGAGACAAAGGTGTTCAAAAAATAGGTACAACTCACTTGAATAAGTTCTTTGGAACGGAGGAAGAAATGTGATTAGAGATTAGGGAATGTGTCTATTTCCCTGACAGAAGAACAAATAGACACTCTGAGGCAAAATTAAGGCAAAAGAGAATATGATCATTTGTGGTATCAGTCAGATAACACCTCAAACAACTTAGAGCTTTCTTTTTACTTAGGTTAAATTAAATAAAGGATCACTAAAACAAACATATACCCTACTGAATAATAGAAAAGATTCTCCTATCATATTTCTAACAAAGGAATAATATTCTATATATACTAATAGAAATCAACAAAAAGAAATCAAACAATCTCATATTGTAATGGGGAAAGATCTTAACAATTTTCCAACTAAGATAGACAGATATGGGCTGGAGAGATCATCAGAAGAGTGAGGCAAATGCCTTGCAAGTCTAGGGCAATTTACTTGCATATAGCTGATTGGTGGTCAATCTCTGCCAACCATTACAATTCCCTGTGCTCTCCAGGAGTGATCCCTGAGCACAGAGATGGAACTAAACTCTGTGCACTGCTAGATGTGCTCCCCACACACACAAAAAGACATTTTATTTAGATAAAAAATATATTTATTATACAGATAGACAAATTTTATTTTATTTTTTTCTTTTTTGGTCACACCTGGCAATGCATGGGATTACTCCTAGTTGTGTATTCAGGAATTACTCCTGGTGGTACTCAAGGGACCATATGAGATGCTGGGAATCGAACCCAGGTTAGCTGCGTGCAAAGCAAAAGCCCTTTCCGCTGTGCTATTGCTCCAGCCCCAACAAATTTTATATTTTAAATGCTCAATACTATGATAGAAATGCAAATCAAAATAACAATGAGCTTCCAATTCAAACCTGAATGTAACCTATATGTAAAAAACTAGAAATAACCAAGTGCTGGTGAGGATATAGATTGAAAAGGAAAAAAAAAACAGTGTTAGTGGGAATATAAATCGGCTCAGCCTATATGAAAAATGCTATGGAGATTTCTCAAAAATTTAAAACTCTCAAGGGATCCAGCAATTCAAGTCCTAGGTATCTATCAAACATAAAAACACTATGTAAAATTATCGATCAACAGAAATCAGAGCAGCAGTAGAGACACTATCTATCAAACAGAGCAACATATGTAATTCATTGTGGTGCTATTTATAACAGTCAAGATCTAATCCAACTGTTCTACAAGGGAAGAATCTTTTCTATAAGAAAATATCAGACCTTGTTTCATCTGTACAACATGGAAAAAATAGGAGTGTGTCATGCTAAGCCAAGTAAATCAGAGGGAGAACAGCTGCCTGATGATCTCATTGAAGACAATATACAAAGAAAGAACATAAGGAAGAGACAATGGCCAAAGATGACAAGCCCTTAGACTCTGTCAACACAACTGAGCTCATCTAAGGAAGGGGAAGATTTATGAATCATGGCGGACAGATATTGACCATGGGTAATGGTCACAATGTGGTAATACTGCACCTTTAAAACATCAACATTTAACTCTTCTAAGTCATTGCTATCTCAATAAATTTAAAAGATAGTTAAAAAATTAAAAAGAAGAGGCCCACTCAAGGTAAAATGCCTTTATTATGATCTATATTAGTAGAAAATAACTATATATACTACTGGATTTTACTGACTGAGCCACAGAGACTTCTAAGCATAGGAATTAAGTGTGAATAAGTTAAGTTTATTATAAATAAAGGTTTTTCAAAAATATGTGCTTTCTTTAAAATGAGTCACTAATCACTGTCACTGTCTCTGTCCTCCCATTGTTCATCAATTTTCTCAAGCAAGCACCAGTAACATCTCCATTGTGAAACTTCTTACTGTTTTTGGCATATCGAATATGCCATGGGGATGTTGCCAGGCTCTGGCGTAACATGTATATTAAAATATTACAAAAAAATAATTTGAGGGATAGTGAAGGCTTGTTAAGTTAGAAATAGATCCAAAATCACATAGAAAATCATTTATAGAAAGGAAAAGTCAATGACTTTATGTGATTGAACTTACATTATTAGCCCCATAAAATAAAGTAACTTTTGTTAGTTCCATAAGATTATTTTCCATGTCATGTATGTTTTATTAATAACAAAATTAATATATATAATTGAATCATTATTTTATATACATATATATTATATGCATAAAATATGTGAGATATTTATTTTGCCTACATTATCTAATTACTAAAGAAATTAAATTTCTAACGGAAAAATATTTTTAAGATGGGATTACTTGAGTATACTTTTATGTGATAGTATGGAAATTTCCCATGTAATAGTAATTTCAAAGAAGAAAATTGTGTTTTAACCTTACAAGACATTTTCATTCAACCAACAGATTTCAATACATTGACAGAGTTCAGGTATTTGCACATTCATTTCAGGGATAGGTAAAGGACCTATCAAAATAAAGCAAAAAAATAAAATTGGTCACGTTGGTGGTCATTCTAGGAGTTCTCTTCTTTAAAAAAGCCACTCTGCAGGCTTTTCTCTCCACTCCATGAAGTAGAATTTTGCATGAAGGAGATGATGGTCCGATCCCATTTGGAATTTTGGGACAACAGCGACATGGGTCAGGCAAAACTGTCGATTGAATATGATGTGGTTCATTTCATTGTGAAACCGTCCAACGGGAGACTCCCAAGTCCAATGTTTAGATTCAGCCTTCTGGAACTGTGAGTTACCGTGGATGGTCTTGGTTGACATGATGAACTCAGACAGTCTCTCACCCTAATTGTTCCATTGTAGGCCATGGGTCCTGATGTGAAGTTCCTGAGCTGATCTTCTTGGTCCTATCTTGGCATTAAAATCACCAGCAATGATCTTGTAGAAGGTGTGGTCTTCTTTATAAAACTCCTCCAGTTCCATGTAGAACTTCTCAATCATAATTTAATGTTGGTGCATAGACAACTAAGATAGATACTGCCGGCTGTGAGCCACATCTATTCAAGAGTAATTGTTCGATTCGGGTTGTTAGGCGTTCGAATGAATCAATGCTCATGGCCAAGTTCGTGTTGTCGTCACCGACACCACCAACACCTCTTTTGTCCCATGTTCTGAGAAACAGTTCTTCTCCAGTGTCGACAACAGCGTGATGTGATTGATGTCTTCTTGACTCAGTCAGACCAGTGATGGTGTACTTGATCTTTCGCGCTTGTACCATCAGGTGCTCTATGGATGTATCTGTTGCCAGCGTACGTGCATTGAAAGTACATACTGTCATTTTTGTCTTTCTTAGTTTTGGCAGCATAGTTTGGCCTTGATATATATATATATATATATATAATTTTCAAGCAATATAAAAACTCAGTTGACATCATTATTACTATTGTCCTATGATAGTTATGTTTAAACACTAAATAACTTTTATAACAACCTTTGAAAGATTATCTTTCACTGCTTCCCATGTCATAAGGAAATGTTTTATTCAATAAGTAAGTAATTAAATTACACAAGTTTCTCTTTTTTTGCAACTAAAAGTAATAATTACCTTACCAATTTTCAAAGGTTTTTGAGTAATGTTTAAGATTAAATAACTGAATGTTTTTCTAATGTTCCTCAGCATGTACACTTACAATTTCAATAGTAGTTTCAAGGTAATGGTTCAGTACTTATTTTACTCCTTTGAACTATTCATGAGGTGTTTATTGTTTCATAAGATTTTCATTTGCTACTACTTACATAATATCTGAAACACAAGCGCTAATAATAATTATAACTCAGGTATTTAGCCGTTTTGTCTTTCCTAAAATTTATGTGTCTTTGCATAGACACTAGTGATTTTCTT